AGTTTCAAGTGTAGATATGATAGAGCCCAATAGGCTCAGGACCCTGTACACCTGTTGATTGACAGTTGAGAGGCGGGACCAAAGAGCCAGAGCTCAACCCCCGCAAACACAACTAGGCGAGTACAACTAGGTGAGTACACACACACACACACACACACACACACACACACACACACACACACACACACACACACACACACCTACCTTCAGTGTTTAATAGTTAAGATCAACTGTGTAATTGTTTGCTCTGGTGAATCCGTCTTTCTGGCGTCGTGACCTTCGTTCTTGGCGCCTTTCTTCTCCCTTAAGACACTTTGTAGGGCTCGGCTTCTGGGCCCCACCTCTCCACCTGTCACTCGTCAACTGCAGCAACTCCCAAGAGGTGGCATGGGCATGAATAACCCGTAATGATGATGGGGAATGAGAGATCGCTATATATATATATATATATATATATATATATATATATATATATATATATATATATATATATATATATATATATATATATATGACTCACTTTCAGCTCATCTAGGAGACATCTCCCGTCACGCTGGGGTGCAGTCGCATCTCCACAGATCTCTAGTATCAGCTATTGATACTGGTAATGGCTCAAAAGGGCCACCACTTACGGGCTATTCATGCCCGTGCCACCTTTTGGGTGGCTTAATCTTCATCAATCAATCAGCTCATCTATACCTGGCGGTTTAATTACAAAGCTCGACCCTCTGGAGGTGGCTTCCACAACTACTCCTTTTAGCATGTTACAGTTTGTTGACCAGAATTTCCTTACGAGAATTTCCTGACATTTGTTCTGTGGATCTGTGTTTGCGCATTTGTGCCTCCAGGATTTAGTTCTAGTTGTTATTTTAGATTCAGCTGCTTGGAAGAAAAAGTTGTTCAGGGTGGGGCTTCTAGTTCTAGCTTTTGAGCCCCGCCTTTCTAGTCGCTAGTTGTTTAATGTAATGTCTTATTTCTCTATTTTATCTATTTTTTTTTTTAAATTGTGAGTGGAGTTTGCATTCACTGTTATATATACTGTGTATATTACACACACACACACACACACACACACACACACACACACACACACACACACACACACACACACACACACACACACACACACCCACACACCCAGGATGGAGCCTACAACAGCTGCCTAACTCATAGGTACCTATTTATTGACTTGGTGGAGAGAGAGAGAGAGAGAGAGGAGAGAGAGAGAGAGAGAGAGAGAGAGAGAGAGAGAGAGAGAGAGAGAGAGAGAGAGAGAGAGAGAGAGAGAGAGAGAGACAGAGAGAGAGAGAAGGGTTGGGTTGTATCACGAGGAAGACAATACTACTCACTGTTGTGCTTCAGCAAATAAGGTGGTATTTGGGAGCAAGGTGCACACATTGTGGCTGCCACTTTGGTGTAGTCAACCACCGCCAAGATCACACACGACCCGCCGCTCTACCCGGCGGGGGCTCTCTCACTCCCTGTCTCTGTCTACTACTGTCATCTTCCTAGCGGTGAGGTAGTCTGTCTACTCCTGTCATCTTCCTAGCGGTGAGGTAGTCTGTCTACTCCTGTCATCTTCCTAGCGGTGAGGTAGTCTGTCTACTCCTGTCATCTTCCTAGCGGTGAGGTAGTCTGTCTACTCCTGTCATCTTCCTAGCGGTGAAGTAGTCTGTCTACTGTCATCTTCCTAGCGGTGAAGTAGTCTGTCTACTGTCATCTTCCTAGCGGTGAAGTAGTCTGTCTACTGTCATCTTCCTAGCGGTGAAGTAGTCTCTCTACTGTCATCTTCCTAGCGGTGAGGTAGTCTGTCTACTGTCATCTTCCTAGCGGTGAGGTAGTCTGTCTACTGTCAACTTCCTAGCGGTGAGGTAGTCTGTCTACTGTCAACTTCCTAGTGGTGAGGTAGTCTGTCTACTGTCATCTTCGTACAGGTGAGGTAGTTTATCTACCCTTGTCATCTTCCTAGCGGTGAAGTACTTTTTGCTATACCCACCTAATGGGCGACCTTGCACCCTATATCATCAGGGTCAACGCTCGCTCTTCCTCAGTTTACCTCAGTTTACCTGAGAGCCACTAACACTAGTGGCCCTCCACGAGAACAGGAAGCAGGCGGCTTGTCGAAGATCACCCCCTCTCATTTGTTCGTCCGTGTCGTCTTTATAATTAGTATCTAGCATCTTAGAGTCTTAGAAAAAAGTCTTAGAAAAGGACTTAGAGGACTGTGACTGTCTTGCGCCTGTGTGTGTGTGTCTTGGGTCACTTTGATCGCCACACTGACGGCCTCGCTTCTTGCAAGGTCGGCGTTCGAACCCCCTGCTGGTCTAATTAGTTGAGCACCCTTTCTTCAGTGCGCCTTCACATCTGTTGGCTTCGTCTAACGAGGTCAAACTAACGAGGACTAACTAACGAGGATAGTGCGAGGTTCTGAAGGTCTTAAGAGGCCCTGTGAGGCATTGGGAATCCCTGGGAGGCATTGGGAGGCCCTGGGAGGCATTGGGAGTCCCTGGGAGGCATTGGGAGTTCCTGGGAGGCATTGGGAGGCCCTGGGAGGCATTGGGAGTCCCTGGGAGGCATTGGGAGTTCCTGGGAGGCATTGGGAGTCCCTGGGAGGCATTGGGAGGCCCTGGGAGACCTTGGGAGGCCCTGAGAGGCATTGGGAGGCCCTGGACAGCCTTGGAGGGCTCTGGAAGGCCCTGGGAGGCCCTGAGATGCCTTGAAAGGCTCTGAGAGGCCCCTTGGAGGCCCTGGACAGCCTTGGAGGGCTCTGGGAGGCCCTGGACAGTCTTGGAGGGCTCTGGGAGGCCCTAGGAGGCCCTGAGATGCCTTGGAAGGCTCTGAGAGGCCTCTTGGAGGCCCCTGGGAGACGCTGAAAGGTCCTGGGAGGCCCTGAGAGGCCCTGGGAGGTCCTGGAAGGTACAAGAAGGTCCTGGGAGGCCTCAGGAGGCTCTGGAAGGCCTTGTGAGGCCCCTGGAGGCCTTGGGAGGCCCCTGGAGGCCCTGGGAGGCCCCTGGAGGCCCTGGGAGGCCCCTGGAGGCCCTGGGAGGCCCCTGGAGGCCCTGGGAGGCCCCTGGAGGCCCTGGGAGGCCCTGGGAGGCCCCTGGAGGCCCTGGGAGGCCCCTGGAGGCCCTGGGAGGCCCCTGGAGGCCCTGGGAGGCCCTGGGAGGCCCTGGGAGGCCCTGGGAGGCCCTGGGAGGCCCTGGAAGGCCCTGGAAGGCCCTGGGAGGCCCTGGGAGGCCCTGGGAGGCCTTGGAAGGCCCTGGGAGGCCTTAGAAGGTCCTGGGAGGCCCTGGAAGGCCCTGGGAGACGCTAGGAGGCGTGTAGGGACACAAGAGAGGTTGTGCTCCACAAGCGACGGGAAGTTTTACAACAAGTTGTGGTAAATGGCTCGGGAGGCGGGCAGGGGGGCCCCTCTCCCCCCCCCCTGCCCCGACACACAGGTAACACCCAAAAACACTCTTGTGCGCACTCTTGGCTTCTTATTGTGCGCAGTTGATGTCGCACACGACACCACAGCCCCGCTCCTGCGCCAGGTAAGTCCACTACGGGCTCACCATAGCCCGTGCTACTTGGAACTTTTTGTTCCCAGTAGCTGAGTCTATAACAATAACAACATGTCGTACACATATTTGTGTTACGTGAAAACACACACACACACACACACACACACACACACACACACACAGGTACCTTACCTTGAGGTTACCTTGAGGTGCTTCCGGGGCTTAGCGTCCCCGCGGCCCGGTCGTCGACCAGGCCTCCTGGTTGCCGGACTGATCAACCAGGCTGTTGGACGCGGCTGCTCGCAGCCTGACGTACGAGTCACAGCCTGGTTGATCAGGTTTCCTTTGGAGGTGCTTATCCAGTTCTCTCTTGAACACTGTGAGGGGTCGGCCAGTTATGCCCCTTATGTGTAGTGGAAGCGTGTTGAACAGTCTCGGACCTCTGATGTTGATAGAGTTCTCTCTCAGAGTACCAGTTGCACCTCTGTTTTTCAACGGGAGTATTCTGCACATCCTGCCATGTCTTCTGGTCTCATGTGATGTTATTTCTGTGTGCAGGTTTGGGACCAGCCCCTCTAATATTTTCCACGTGTAAATTATTATGTATCTTTCCCGCCTGCGCTCAAGGGAGTACAGTTTTAGGCTCTTTAGTCGGTCCCAATAGTTTAGATGTTTTACTGAGTGGATTCTAGCAGTAAAGGATCTCTGCACGCTCTCCAGGTCAGTAATTTCTCCAGCTTTGAAAGGTGCTGTCATTGTGCAGCAGTACTCCACTCTAGAGAGCACAAGCGTTTTGAAAAGTATCATCATCGGTATAGCATCTCTATTGTGAAAAGTTCTTGTTATCCAACCTGTCATTTTTCTTGCAGTTGTGACGGCTACTTTATTGTGTTCTTTAAAGGTAAGGTCTTCCGACATGAGTACACCCAGATCCTTTACATTGCCTTTTCGTTCTATGTTATGATTTGCCTGAGTTTTGTACGTGGTTTCCGTTTTTATATTTTCATTTTTTCCATAGCGCATGAGCTGGAACTTATCTTCGTTAAACACCATATTATTTTTTGTAGCCCATAGAAAGACCTGATCTACATCTGACTGGAGATTCTCCGTGTCCTCTATGTTGCCTACTCTCATGAAGATCCTAGTGTCATCTGCAAAGGATGATACAGTGCTATAGGTTGTGTTCTTGTCTATGTCCGAAATGAAGATGAGAAAAAGTACTGGAGCAAGCACAGTACCCTGGGGGACTGAGCTCTTCACGGTTGATGGGCTGGATTTTATTTTGTTGACTATTACACATTGGGTTCTGTTGGTCAGGTACACCAGCTGTAGTGTGTCAACCCACCGACAGCTACACATTTCCCAAAATATCTCTAATGTATCCTATTTATGAACTCGGAGCTTTTATGTATTGTTTTCTCACTAATAGGAAACTAATTATTGGTGTACATGTGTGGTAAGGAAGGTGTAGAGCTGACGCATTGTGTGGTGTTTCAGGTGTGTAGCAGCAGGGAGGTGTGGCAGGCAGCAGTCCGGTGTAGCTTGCAACTTGGGAACCTACTGACCAGGCATCACGCCCTCCGTCTCCACCAGAACGTTGCCTGATCTAAGCCTCGTTGCGCTGGCAAGAAACCTTTCCGTAAATCTTGCAGCTTTAAGGAGGTTGGTGAAGACTAGCGGCTGTGGAGGCAGAGCATCACAGGGAGTTCCTCTGGTCCTAGACGCTACTGGCAGGCCCCTGGAAGTCCTTCTTTGACGTCAGGGAAGTATTACGTCACCACACCCGTTCACCTTGTGGGCCCCCCTGCGACCATGAGTGTCTTTGGTGGTGTGGGAAACTGGGGTCTGCTGCTCCTGTCCCTCCTGTCCGTCTGGCCGTCCGCCTCCGCCAAGCTCGTGTACGTCGAAGAAAATCTTCCATTACCGGTAAGACGCAACCGAAGAAATGTTTTTTGCTAGGGGTTGGTTGAGTGATCCTTGGCGAACGACGTAGGGGACCAGAGGGACCACAGGACATGATGCCTCACATACAGCTTCAAGGCTAATCAAAGGGGGGTTTCATCTTCCTCAGAATCCTTTGTAAGGAGAGAGTAGATGTGTAAATAGTGCCAGAAGACGAGGGGGAGTGGTATACACGGTAAAGATGGATGTAAGAGCACCTGGGTGTGTCTTACAAGGAATATCTGGATGTTAGAGCAGGCGTGAGGAAGATACCTGATGTGTGTGAAAGATGCCCGTTGTGTGTGTGTGTGTGGACGACACCGGGGGCGTGTGAATGTTGCAGAGATACACGAAAGGTGAGGCTCGTGATGGTGAGGTGTGGTGGGCCGTCATACAGGAGAGAAGCCGCACCAGTGATGTGCATGACGTCGGTGGGAGAGGATGCCACGATGGACATCATTAATAAGGAAGTTATTGGGGCAGGTGGGTGTGGTAGTGTTGAGGGCAGATGTGGCAGGTGTGTGTGGTAGTGTTGGGGAGGCTGTGGTAGTGTTGGAAGGGGGAGGAAAATTACTGGTGAGAGGTAGGCAGGATGAAGCTGTCACTCACGCTGAGGGGAAATGAGGGCAGGAGGGAATGGGTGAGAGGTGAGGGAGCAGTTTGGAGTAAGTAGCTGGGGTGTGGGGGAGAGGGGGAGTGAGTATTGTGTGAGGCACTTGTGTCACTGTCTAGGTCACTCACACCCTGCACGGGTCACTCACACCCTGCACGGGTCACTCACACCCTGCACGGGTCACTCACACCCTGCACGGGTCACTCACACCCTGCACGGGTCACTCACACCCTGCACGGGTCGCTCACAGCCTGCACGAGTCACGCACACCCTGTACGAGTCACTCACACCCTGCACGAGTCACTCACACCCTGCACGAGTCACTCACACGCTGCACGAGTCACAGTCCTGTCGTGTTGGTTGGGTCAAATACACAACCCCATCATGATAGTTTGTAAAGAACAGTGGCCAGATTGCACATTTTTGGACAGTCAGAAAGCTTTCGGGACAGTACCCGACAGAAGACTGGAACACAAAATGAAGAAAGTGTAGTGACAGGGAAGGTACAACAGTGGGTAAATGAGTACCTCTAAAAGAGAAGACTGAGAGGTATGAGTTACGATGAAAGACTAAAGGAGTTAAAACTCACATCATTGGTGGAAAAAACTTGAGATGATTTAGCATGTGAGACGAGACATGATAGTATGCAGCATGTGGGGCATAGCAACCCACGCCACAACTCCCAAATTAACAGCATTACCTTGCAGCAGATTGATGACGAAAAGGACCTTGGAGTCTGAATCCATCATTCACTGAAAGTTGCACAACAAGTGGGACCGGCAGTAAAGAAAAGCCATCTAAACCCTAGGAATAATCAAGCGTATCTTTGACGTTAAGGGAAAGAAGGTAGTCGTCCAATTGTATCAATATGGTACGCCCCCATCTGGGTTATTGCAGCCAGACATTGAGGTTACCTTGCCAACACCGGGCAACAAAAATAGTTCCATAACTAAGTCAACTCCTACCAGGACAGGTTGAGGGCGTCAGGGCTAACAACACAGCAAACTAGGCATGACAAGGCTGATCTCATCGAAACGTTCAAATTACTGAACAATTTGGAGGGTGTTGATCCAGATAATTTCTTCACAAGGTCAGATGACAAACATGGAGTAACGGTATGGAGGCGATGAGTCACAATAACGTGGCTAAAAGTATGTTGATTAGACCACACACTAGAAGGTGAAGGGACGACGACGTTTCGGTCCGTCCTGGACCATTCTCAAGTCGATTGAAAATGGTCCAGGACGGACCGAAACGTCGTCGTCCCTTCACCTTCTAGTGTGTGGTCTGGTCAACAAGGAGTAACGGGTTGAAGCTCAACAAGCCACAATGTTGGACTGAGAACAGGAGATGCTTTTTCACCCTCCAACCCGGCCTCGACTCAAGTCCATTCCATCCAGCGGTCGACCCCCACAGACGCATTCATAAATTTTTACATGCTGTTCAGTCAAAACGGGAATTTTAACAAATATAAATTAATATTATAATAGCATTTTGTGCACATGGAGGCATAGGTTAGGTGTTTAGGTTCTGTTGGCGATTATTAGTATTACGTGAGTGCAGCATTTAGTGTTGTGGTTCGAACAAAATTCGTCATTGAAGCACTTGTTCCGGAAGTGTTCAAACGAAATCAGTTGTGAGTCGTGTGTAAACTGTTTTTCATTCAAAAACAGCTGGGGGTTTGGAGGGGTGCATGGAATCAGTTTTGGGTCTTTGGAGGACGGGCTGCACCCACAGTGTTATAAACGCATGAAACCACCGACCTGTCGAAACCGTAAATGCCAAAACTCTGCTGAACTTTAAAGTCCAGCTTGACTCAATCGTCAGGACAAACAGCCCGTCCTCGCATACATAGATCCAAGCTCGTTAATCCAGCCGCCAAACCCCACCCTCTTTATGAACGAAAAACGGTTTACACACGTCTCACAACTGATGACATACGAATACTTCAGGAGCAAGTGCTTCGCTCACGGCCTCTGTTCGAATGACAATTCTAAAATTGCTTCACCCACGTACTTCAAATACAAATATTCGCCAACAGAACCTAAACACCTAGCCTAACCTTCGCCTAACTATACATAACAATTTTATATATATGAATTTTAATTTATATGAGAACAAACCAATTTTTGATACACAGTATGTTAAAATTAATGAATATGTCTGGGGAGGATGTCCACTGCTTTAACCAGCCTAGTGTGAGGACGGGTTGAGGATCAATGGGGGGGGGGGACTTATGACAAGCCGCCGGCTTCCTGTCCTCATCAAGGCCACTAGAGTGCAGCTGCCCTCGGATAAATTCAGGTAAATGATCATCACACAAGAATCAATTAAATACAAAATACCAAAGGGAATAAACAGGGCAGACAAGGACAGGCTATTTAGCAAGGAAAGTACACAAACAAAGGAACACAAAAGGAAACTATAAGTATCCAAATGAACCACAGAGATTTTAGGGGGGAGGAGAAATCAGTGGCAGGACGGAAAACAAATGAAATTAAGTGCTGTGGAGGATGGAGTTGTCACGGGAAAGCGCCAAGCCATTACTACTATATAGCACTTGGAAGGGGTCAGGATAAGGATTTGGGATGGGACGGGGCAGGAAAGGAATGGTGCCCAACCACTTGGACGGTCGGGGATTGAATGCCGACCTGCATGAAGCGAGATCGTCGCTCTACCGTCCAGCCCAAGTGGTTGGGTGGGCAAACTGCATTCACAGTTTTAAATAGTTCACCATGTGGACTGCCACAGTCGCTGATAGGAACCCTGTTAAGCATATTGAACTCCCCCCTTGCTAGATGACCTTCCCCGGGATGCTGCCAGCAATAGTTGCCTAACTTTCGTGTTAGTAATTTCTGAGTAGAGGTACAAGGTGAAATGAAACACACTTTTTTTATTTACAAGAGTTCTTACATTCTTGTACAGCCACTAGCACGCATGGCGTTTCGGGCAAGTCCTTAATCCTAATATTCCCCGGAATACGACCCGTCAAATCATTTAACAACCTTATACCTATTTTACTTAAGGGTAAACAGCTGCTACAGTTAAGGATTGGCGCCCACTAAATCCTCCCCGGCCAGGATACGAACCCAGGACAAAGCGCTCGCTAAACGAGTGTCTTACCACTACACCATAGGGACTCTTGAGTTCTGGAATCTATATACCAGTCGATTAAGGGTTGAGAGACAGAAGGAATTTAATAGCCGTAGCTCATCCTCCCGAAATATAATTATTAAGTACCTGTATAGCGATTCTGAGCCACTGATTCTTACTTAGTTTGTCTTCTTTAGTTTGTCATGAAATGTGTCCGTCTTCTGTGGATAGAAATGATAGCGTGTGTGTAGCCGCCCCGTGGACAATGTTTGTAAACAAGTACAGTACTCCACGATCGTCGTCGCCCCTAAATCAACACAACAGTACCTAAATAGATTTTCTGGGTTGACATATAATGATCAGACTAGGCTGGAACACATCAAACTAACATTACACAGTTAAATTACAGAACAGACATAAATGAACTTTGTATCCACTGCCATGCTGCAGAGACAACTGAACATCTCTCTTAAGGTCCATTATGTGCCTCTGTAATCCTTTCCACTACCGCCCACAAGATGGGTATGGGGTCCATAATAAATAAAATAATGTCTCTGTAGTACAGTCGAGTTCGTTTTCGACTCGCAATAGGAAATTCCGGGTTTGAATCCAGGGCAGGATAGAAATGGTTGGGCGCGTTTCCTATCACGTAATGCACCTATTCACTTATAAGTAAGTATGTACCCAGGAGTTAGTCAGCTTTTTATGAGGTTGCACCCTTGGGAGGATAAGTAGTTTGACCCTAGGGAGGTTCTCGATATAAGCCTAATGAGTATATATATACATATATTTACACAGGATAACTGCCCTGGACAAAAGTGAATCATTATTATTATTATAAGCAGTTAGCAGTCTCCGTGGCGTAGTGGTAAGACACTCGCCTGGCATTTCGCGAGCACTTTGTCCTGGGTTCGTATCCTGGCCGGGGAGGATTTACTGGGCGCAAATCCTAAACTGTAGCCTCTGTTTAACTCAACAGTAAAATGAGTACTTGGTTGTTAAACGATTCTTCGCGGGGGTCGTATTCCAGGGAACTTACGATTAATGACTTGCCCAAAACGCCATGCGTACTAGTGGCTGTACAAGAATGTGACAACTCTTGTATATGTATGTGGTGTGTGTGTGTGTGTGTGTGTGTGTGTGTGTGTGTGTGTGTGTGTGTGTGTGTGTGTGTGTGTGTGTGTATATATATATGTATATATATATATATATATATATATATATATATATATATATATATATATATATATATATATATATATATATATATATATATATATATATATATATATATATATATATATATATATATATATATATATATATGCGAACAAGCCAGAATGGTCCCCTGGACAATATGCAACTGAAAACTCACACCCCAGAAGTGACTCGAACCCATACTCCCAGAAGCAACGCAACTGGTATGTACAAGACGCCTTAATCCACTTGACCATCACGACCGGACATAATGAGGTGATAGCCGAGGCTATTTGAACCACCCCACCGCCGGCACTCGGATAGTTATCTTGGGCATAGCATTTTACCAAATCACCTCATTCTTAGGGGCACACGTGAGGAACACAAATGCGAACAAGCCAGAATGGTCCCCTGGACAATATGCAACTGAAAACTCACACCCCAGAAGTGACTCGAACCCATACTCCCAGAAGCAACGCAACTGGTATGTACAAGACGCCTTAATCCACTTGACCATCACGACCGGACATAATGAGGTGATAGCCGAGGCTATTTGAACCACCCCACCGCCGGCACTCGGATAGTTATCTTGGGCATAGCATTTTACCAAATCACCTCATTCTTAGGGGCACACGTGAGGAACACAAATGCGAACAAGCCAGAATGGTCCCCTGGACAATATGCAACTGAAAACTCACACCCCAGAAGTGACTCGAACCCATACTCCCAGAAGCAACGCAACTGGTATGTACAAGACGCCTTAATCCACTTGACCATCACGACCGGACATAATGAGGTGATAGCCGAGGCTATTTGAACCACCCCACCGCCGGCACTCGGATAGTTATCTTGGGCATAGCATTTTACCAAATCACCTCATTCTTAGGGGCACACGTGAGGAACACAAATGCGAACAAGCCAGAATGGTCCCCTGGACAATATGCAACTGAAAACTCACACCCCAGAATTGCTATGCCCGAGATAACTATCCGAGTGCCGGCGGTGGGGTGGTTCAAATAGCCTCGGCTATCACCTCATTATGTCCGGTCGTGATGGTCAAGTGGATTAAGGCGTCTTGTACATACCAGTTGCGTTGCTTCTGGGAGTATGGGTTCGAGTCACTTCTGGGGTGTGAGTTTTCAGTTGCATATTGTCCAGGGGACCATTCTGGCTTGTTCGCATTTGTGTTCCTCACGTGTGCCCCTAAGAATGAGGTGATTTGGTAAAATGCTATGCCCAAGATAACTATCCGAGTGCCGGCGGTGGGGTGGTTCAAATAGCCTCGGCTATCACCTCATTATGTCCGGTCGTGATGGTCAAGTGGATTAAGGCGTCTTGTACATACCAGTTGCGTTGCTTCTGGGAGTATGGGTTCGAGTCACTTCTGGGGTGTGAGTTTTCAGTTATATATATATATATATATATATATATATATATATATATATATATATATATATATATATATATATATATATATATATATATATATATATATATATATATATATATATATATATATATATATATATATATATATATATATATATATATATATATATATATATATATATATATATATATATATATATATATATATATATATATATATATATATATATATATATATATATATATATATATATATATATATATATATATATATATATATATATATATATATATATATATATATATATATATATATATATATATATATATAACCACTGTGTTTAACCACTGTATAATATTTTTTTCTTTTTTAAGTAAATTATTTATTATTATTATCATTATCACTATCTTTGGAAGTACTGTACTGTATAGGATACAAAAAATCCTCTGCTACTTCAAACATCATGATGCCAGAATTAATTTGAAACAAGAATATATCACCCTCTAAGTGCCTTTCAACATCAATGACGTTTAGTCAAAGTATTGGCTAAATATCTGCAGTCAAAAAAATTAGGCCACATCTAGCCTATTCACAGAACTTTATCCATCTGGACAATTATACACACAAGACCTAAACCTGGTCAGTATTGCATTATAATCCCAGTAACCCATTTGTAGGTGTAGTCACTCTTAGATTGTAGATTATTAGATTGATAGTCAATCATCATTAGTAATTAACAGGGTGATAATAGGTTGTTATTCTACTTATTAGATTGTAGTTAGTCAACTCTTTATTTCTTTTAACCTTTACCCCTTTCTTAAATGAGTTAGATTTATTGCATTAGGATCAAAATAGTTACAAGGAATTCTGCAAGCTAAGTACTGGTGTCCTCCATCACCTCCATCCCTCACCTCAGTACTATACAGTATAGTAAATGTGTATATTTGTTTTTAATTGATGTTTTGATAATTACTTCCTCCAACATTGGTTGCTATTTTAACATCTAATTTTTCAACTGTCTATATGTTTATATGACTTTTTTAATTACTATACTGTCATTTTGATAGGGTATCTCTCCATGAGTTGTGTGTTTTCTGCAGACAAATTTTCCTTAAAATAAATTCATGACCTAACCTAATGTAATCTTTTAAGGGAGAGGAAGCACCACCAGGGTCACCATGGCCGCTACCCCGCCTGTGGTCATCCTCTCCAGACCAGCTCACCATTGACCCCTCAACATTCATCATCTCATCCGACCTCACTGGATGTGACGTCATTGATGCCGCATTACACAGGTAGCCTGCTATTCAACTTCTTTTTTCTGTGAAATTGTTCAGTAATCAAGTCCATATATCTTTGTTGTGTTTTATGTGTTCAGTATTTGTTCGAGATCTAATATGTAACAAAGTATTCCTCTGAATTTGTTTTGAATCTCGTAATTGTCAAGATTAGCACATAGATCACTGGGACATTAATATCATAGTCATACATTCATTCTTTGGCCAAGGCAGTGTGGTTTACTTTTTGCTAAGTTAAGTTACATTACTTCTACACTTGCCATTATTTCTTGCCTATGTTAGAAAATAAATTGAAATGCTGGAGTCAAACTCAATGGGTTTCAAGTACAATATAGGAATTTGTTCACGGTGGCTTGCTAAGATAAAGGTGTTATGATGAACATTTGGGCTGTTCTTTTTGTTGCCATCCATTAGGCAACACTAATGCCCACTACTCTTCATTTGTTTCCCCTCTGCCTCATTTCCTGGTATGTTTTAAACATTTTGTTACTTGATTCCCTCATGTTAGGTATCAGAACTTGCATTTAAATATTTAAATATGAACCTGTTTTATCTTCTACATTAAAACTTAGGAGCTACTCTAAAATGTGTAACTTCCACACAATTATCAGAAAATGGTGATCGCTTTCCAAGATTAATATGATCACCATAGTTTTTACACTATGATGTTAAATCAGTACAGTATCTTTTGAACCTGAAGAAAACACCCAACTAGTTGTTGATTTATGTATGGTTATATGATCTTGTCTCCTTTTCAACAGGTATCAGAATCTGGTGCTGATAGATCCTGATGCAACAGCTGATCCTGGGTTGACTCTATTGGCCTTCCTCAATGTGTCAGTCATATCTGGTTGTGACCACACGCCTCACCTCAACCTCCACCCTGACTATGAGTCCTGTCAGTACTGCCAGTCTTAAATGATTTTCTATTCTTTTCTAAGCTATTCCACTCGGTTGCTCCCATTGCCAAGATTCTACTGGCACATAGGATAGCATCATGTATAGTTAGGACAGGTCGATATAATGCACCAACACAGCATGAATCTTTTCAACCATTTCTTCCGGTCATACTGGTACAAGGAAGGCACTGGAGAATACAAAATCTAGCTTTGGCATCACATAGACCACCAGGCAGTGTTTTTGTCAATTGCTAGTTGGCCTGTCTGGCTGCTACCTCAGACTGCCACCAGGTGGCAGTACTGTCTGCACTTAATAATCTGCATCATTTGTGGCCCACTTCTATTAGAGTTGGCCAACTTTTTTATCAGGAATGTCGAAAAATTAACAAATTCAACTTGCACCCAATAGGTAGCCCCAATTTCTTTTAGAGTTGAAAAGTCAAGCACACAAACTCGAATTTGAGTTTGGTCAGGCTTCTTGGTCAGTACAGTACTGTACTGTATAACCTTTTATCTCAAATTCCTATTCAGGTTATAATGTCAAAAAAGTAAAAGAAACTGGATTATGAATTCATTTCGATTAATCAGAGAGTTGGGTTACTGGAGTATGAATGATCAAGCTCTTACATTTGATGGGAGCCAGTAAGTTGGTAAGTGGAACCCACATGTAAAGTGGGTTCCCCATGACTTGGCTTTCACAGGTGTTGTCTTGGAGCTTGTCCTGTTTTGGTCTTTTGTTCCCCTCATGGCTCTCCTTAGCATTAGGTTGTCTTTTTGGCCTGTCATGACTGGAAAGGGCACAGGCTTTGTTTCTAGCCATCACCATACAGGGTAAGGGCACTGGTCTCCAAAAGTTGTTCTCATATTAACATTCTGGAATTGGTGACAGTGCAACTTATACAGAGCTATCACACACCCCATGAGGCTTGGCTCTGTCTGCATTCAGTGTGTGCACTGGTGGTATAATGTCTCGACTGGGGAAGAATGATCCTTATCTCTACCATTGTGGTGTGGGAATCTAACGATGGCCTCTATTTTAGTTTATCAGTTTCTATTTGGCACAGCAGTCCACATTTATTGGATATCTAATGTCCTTCTCCCTGAATCTTTGTACCATGATGTCTTGTACTAGACTAATGTTTCTTTTTCTTGGCTGCTAGATAGGGATGTGAAGTTCAGTTATCCACAAGGGTTTTACTGCGCCTTATGCTTGCATCATACCTGTAGGGATTGCTTGAAATGTACCATGCTGCACTAGTACGAATGTCGACCTTCCCTGACTGCATAATGTTGTCCAAGAATCTAACAGGAATTGGCCTGAAGGAGAAACCAAGTGTCTTGCTCACAAAGCACTTTATGTTTATATGTACTTTCTCAGCTTCCACAATTGGCCAGGACAGCTCTGTGCTTATTTTCACTAAACATGTCATCATCTCATGTCTTCAAGAAACTTGGCCATTATAATACATAGAATGACATCTTTAGCTTTAATATATATCTCATTATTGGTTATATCTAGAATCAAAGATACTTGCGCTCATTTTAACCAGGTAGACAATTACAGGAAGAGAAGAATACCGGTAATTCTCTTCATAGAGTAATAGTACATAGAATGCACAATATACAGGACAGGCTGCTATATACAAAAGAGATAAGAGGTCACCTACTCCTTATTTAGCAAGTGACCTATGAAGATTCTTAAATTTGTTTTAAGCAGCAATAAAATGGGTATACTGTAAGTACAATAGAAAAGTGATGTTTGGTCTTTGTGAATGCAGTACAACAAAATCACAATAGGCTAAAATACAATTAAATAGTGCAGAAAATCTGTGAATATAATAAAATAATTTTTTCTGACGCGTCTCCTCTGCATCTTGCCGAGCTACCCACCTGGAGTCTTCCAAACCCAGCTATGTATCACACCAGACTATTAATGAGTCATGAACACCTACTGGAGACCAGGACTAGAATGTAGCCCACTCAATAGTGGCATAAGGGAGTGGGATGGCATTTGGGACTGCCATCTGGTGGAAAAAGAAACTAACTAGCCGTTGGATCTATACAATGTGTGGACATAACTTGAATCTCGATTGCAAGTGCTGCCAAGCATTTGCTAGATTTAGTATAGTCTACCGTTTGGGTTTCTTTCAGTTATGTGGTGATTTTGTATTCCCCATACACCCCTGTGCCTTAATTATGGAAGGCCAGATTCTTGTCCTGGTGTCCATTAGGCTCTAGTGTTTTATTAGCTGGTATGGCACCTGGGTTTGGAGGACTCCAGTTGTGTAGCTTGAGAAGATACAAAGGGAAGTCTGCCCAGAAACATAAAATCTCAAAATAAACAATTCCAGTTTTGCTTACATCTTTAGGGAATCACTTGGTATTTAATTTGGTCGTCTGTAGGTTATCTGCATTATTGAGTAACATTAGTTTTTATGATTTTTGTTGCATTTATGATAACCAGTGGGAGTGAAAGGGAACAATGTGGGCAGCCTGAATCATATGGGCAAGAATGTTACAAAGTTGACATTCAAAAGTACAGGATATCAGTTAAAATTGTGAGAACTTGAGCAACTGGAGGTATGTGAGTGTTTAGGGCAACAGCTTGAGTAACTAGAAGGTTGCAGGTGTTAAGGTTAAAAATACGAAAAATGAGGTTAAAAGCTATGAATAATGAGGATGTTTTTATTTTAGGTAAATTGTACAACCATGCAGTACTGATTTAGTTGGGTTATTGGTTAAGGTCAGGTAGGTCGGTAGACTGACCCTTTTTTCTCCTGCCACAGACACACTGGACATAGAGCTGACTGAAGTAGCAGAAACCAGTGAATCACATTTACAGGGATCTGCCCGCTTGGTGGCGCGCACTGTGTGGGGTGTCCTTAGGGGCTTGGAGACCTTCTCACAGCTAGTCCATATTGTTGAACCCGAAGACCATGTGAGTATGTGGGTAATGTTAATCCAAAGTACAATCTTTGTATAAAGCATAGACTACAGCGCTTTAGGAATTTTAATGTTGTATACCAACCTGTCCTTTTGTAAACACATCATATTTTGACATAAAAATCCTCAACGTCAAAATATGATGTACTGTGAATCACAACAGCTCACAAAATTGACAGGCGGTCCTGTTTTCTATTTGTGGGTCCTGGTTAAGTTACGTTCAGCCAATTTAATACATCATTTTTGTAGTGTTGTGACAACTCAAGAGGACAGGCTGGGTATTGCAATCTGTACCTTCAATCCTTTTAATTCTTTTTTTTTTCATTTGCCTTAGTTCCTCTACATGCCATACCTCAGAATCATGTTTTCTGGGGAGAGCCTCATCGGCTCACCGGAGCTATCCAGGCTGAATGGATATGTTTAACTTTCTGGCATCAGTCAATGCATGGAGTTCTTGCCTACCGGGGACCATGAGCCAGAACCTGGCCCCCTCCAGAGAGGCACGTGGAGCGATGGCCTATAGAGACCACCCTGTGGTTGGGAGCATTCTATGTCTGCCATCGACCGGGATAAGCACCCAGAAAGGTAGGCACCCCAAAACAAACCCCTATTCTGGTAAAACTATTGCTACCAAAAGCCGAACAAGTGGACAGAACTCCCCAAACAAAATTAAGCAAACGAGCATAACGTCATCATATTGCCGCGCCGCTGTCTGTGCAAAACCCCTCCTCAAGAGGGGGAAGGGGAGTCCCAGACCTGTCCTCCGGTGATCCCACTTCCAGTTCTTGGCTGATGGGAGTCTGATGCGGTCGTGCCTCTGGCTCCAGTGTTTGTTTCAGTTCTGTGCCTTGTGGTGTGGGCTGTTTCTTTCAGGTGGTGCATGAGCCAGGAGTCTGCCCTGTAAGTACTGCCCTTGGGGCATGGGGCCACCTTCCACAAGTCACCTCGGGATCTGCCTCTGCTGTGCAGTTTACTGCTCAGTACTTGGCCGCCCTTGGAGTCAGCTGGGGTTTTTCTTGCCCTTGTCTCTGGGTAAGGGGTAGTTTTAGTCACTGGCAGGGGCGTGGGATACTGCACAGCTAGTTTTCACCTGTAACAGCGGCCGACTCTGTTCTGCCTAGGTACGTTGCCCTCTTGCAGGGTTTTTCTTTTGTTTTTGTTTTCTGCCTGGTGGGGGGGGGGGGTTCTGCCTTGATCCTCTTTGCTGTACTAGGAGTGTATATATTATCTATATTTTCTACTTTTGGTGGTACTCCTCACTTGGCCCCCGTGAGTGAACACATCCCGGGAGTTTAGCTTTAGAAGTTTGTTTGGTAGACTTGGGCGCCGGTTCGCAGTACCCTGCCTGGGCTTCCCTTAGCGTGTTACCAAGGCTAAGGGCTCTGGGAAACCCCACAGGGCTACGTGGTCTGATGGAGTCCCGAGGGTTCCCCTTGCATCTTGCGAGTTTGAAGGTTGCTCTGTTCCTTTGTCTCAGGGTAACACTCACCGGTTGTGCCTCCGCTATGCTGCCTGTTGGGTCTGTGAGTCTTTTGACGCAGAGTTGTGCTATGTGTGTTGTCTGTACATACTCCAGTTCACCCAAGCCACTGATAATGATATGCGGGTGCAGGCAGGTAAGGCGTTGCATGCTAGATTTAGGTTGCTGCAACATGCTCGGTTGGTTGTGGCCCCGGATGCCCAGAGACTGCCCCGTTTTGCTTATAGGGACCTGGACTTGAGGGTGGGAGTCGCTTCGGCTCAGGTTCCGTCCGCCTCTCCTAGTTCTTTCCCCTCTGTTGTTTATCCGGTTCACTGCCCCTCACCCCCCAGGGGGTGGGCAGTGAACCGGATGAACAACAAAACTCAGGTGGGTTTTCCACTTGTTTCTGGTTCCGAAACGGGACTGCACGGACCTCCGGTTCATTCTGGACTTGTCCCGTCTGAACCCCTAGGTTTATTGCCCCCTCCTTCAGGATGACTACTCTGTCCCAGGTCCATATTCTGTTGGAGCCGGGCGCTTGGATGGTGTTCCTGGACCTCAAGGATGCGTATTGGCACATCCCAGTTCATCCGAGGTTCAGGGACTGGCTCGGTTTTGCTGTGGGGCATCAAGTCACTGCTTTCGTTGTCTTCCCTTCGGGTTGAATCTGCGCCTCGCGTTTTCACACGCCTTACTCGGGTCGTGGTGGCCCATCTTCATCTGTTAGGTGTTCGGGTTCTGGCCTACATTGATGACTGGCTGGAATGGACTCCCAGCCAGTCTGCGTGTCTGCTCGCCAGGGATTTGGTGCTTTCCCAGCTCTCCGGGTTCGAGTTCTTGGTGAACTGGAGGAAATCCCATCTGGTTCCCTCTCAGGTTCGGTCTTGGCTGGAGTCTGGTTTGCCATGATGGTCCATTCTGCTGGGTCAGGTGTGGCTTCGCCGGCTGTTCTGGTTCCTTCGGGGATGGCCCTTCCGCCTCTCTCGCAATCGTTGGGTTCGGCCTCTGGAGGCTTTACGTCAGTTGCTGCGTCGCCGGCTTCCTCCTTCGGGTTTTTCAGGCTTCAATGCCTTGGCGCCTACCCGAGCCCTTGTTCAATGTGTTCACAGACGCATCATCTCTTGGCTAGGGCTTTGTGACCAGTGCTCACCAGGCCGGCCAGGGGCGGTGGGATCCGTTCTTCAGTCGGGCTCACAGCACGGTCAGGTAGTTCGGTGTGGAAGTCGCTCCGGAGGGTTCGAGTCGCTCTCAGATCGACAATCCGGCTCCATTTGGACTGCTCCCCGGTGGTTCAGTGTCTGAACCGAGGGGGTTCTATGTGGTCCTTGGCTCTTTGGGGCTGGTCGCTTCGGGTGACTCGTCTGCTGAGTTCTCGGGGTTTGGCTCTCCTGATGGTTCACATCCGGGGAGTGTCCAACGTCCTGGCAGACAGCCAGTCTCATTTCCTTCCCCTTTCCATGGAATGGATGGTCAACGCCGACTCTTTCAGTTGGCTGTGCCAGACGTTTGGGACTCCGGACGTGGATCTCTTCGCGTCGGCGTGGTCGAGGCATCTCCCAGTTTCCGTGGCGCCCTTCCTCGACTGCGAGGCTGTCGGGGTTGATGCCTTTCGGCTGGACTGGGCGAGGTGGGGTTACCTGTACCTCTTTCCCCCGGTTCAGCTGTTGCTCCAGGTCCTAGCTCGCTTGGAGACTGACCAGGGAAGAGTTGTCCTTCTGGCTCCTTGGTGGCTGGCCCAGCCTTGGTTTCAGCCGCTGCTTGCTCGGTGTCTGAACCCGAGGGTCTTCCCACGACTCTGCCTCTTTCAGCAGATCAGTCCAGCCTGGTACGAGGCTGGTTTAGTCTTCTCCTTGAGTCTTCACGTCTGATGTTTTTAACTCGAGTTTATCATCACTTGTATGGTGTGCAGGTGACTTCGTTGTTGGTCTTTCACCTGTGTGCTTCGTCTCGGCGACAGTATGAAGTTTCCTGGCGGTCCTTCTGGTTCTTCCTATCACTGCGTAGGTATTCTTCGGTCTCTGATAGGGTTGTTCTGTCCTTCCCCTCTTGGTTGTTTCAGGACCGTCATCTTATGCCTAATAATGTCGCCTCATATCGTGCGGCGCTGGCGGAGCCGCTTCAGCTTGCTTTCGGTGTTGATGTTACTTCTGCCCCGTTCCACAAGGTGTCTCAGATGTTGTTTCACCTCCAGCCTGCTCATGTGCCTCCTGAGCCGCCCTAGTCTTTGGACCTTGTGCTCTCATTTCTTTCTTCTCCTCAGTTTGTTGTGTCCCCTTCCATTCGGGATTGTTTTTCTAAGGCTCTTTTTCCTGTTGGCATTGGCCTCTGAGGGTCGGGTCAGGGAGCTTCATGCTCTCCTCCGGCGCAGAGGTTTCTACTTTCTCGGTCCTGGTGGTCGTTTTGTTTGATTGCAGCCATCTCCTTCTTTTCTGGTGAAGAATGAAACGGCTGCGTTTCGGAGGGGGCCTTGGGTTGTTGATGCTTGGTTGATGAGGCCAGGGGTGCATCATGTGTTGTGTCCGGTTGCGGCTCTCCTCCATTACAGTATTTGCTCGCCACAGCTTTGGTGGCCGAGGATGTGCTTTGGGTTGACCAGGTTTCCCTTCTTCCCTTTTCCCGAGCTCAGGTCTCTCAGGTTGTCTGCAGGGTTATTAAGCCTAGCCAGCTTGCGGTTTATCCCCGTGCCCACGACATGCGTAAGTTTGCGGGTTTGGGTGCCGTCTTTGGCAACATGTCTTGGGTTGACATTTGGGTGCGGGGTTTATGGAGGTTGAACAGGGTCCTGGCAGCTCGCTACCTGGTAAATGTTCCTGGGCCAGGTAGGGCCTGCATTGCATTTGGTCGGCAATTGCAGCCAATTGTCTCGACTTCACGTTGAGGAGTGACGACAGACCACCTCCCGGGTAAGTCCCTCTTTTTCCTTATCTGTGGGGTAGTTAGCTCCAGGGAGCTGACGGCGCTCCTGCCAGAAAATCAGCATTGAATGTAATGAAATGCCATTTTCTGGGTGAGTCTGGGAGGCTCCCCGGCATCCCTCCTTCCCTCTGGTCGGTAGTGTTTTTCGCATTTTTTTGACATCCAGCTTAAGAACTGAAGGTTGGGTTGTTGGAGGATGGGTCTGGGGCTCTCCCTTTCCCCTCCCGGGGAGGGGGGGATTGCGCAGACAGCGGCACGGCAACATGATGACATCATGCTTGTTTGCTAATTTTCGTTTAGGGAATTCTGTCCACTTGTTCGGCTTTAGGTAGCAATAGTTTTACCAGAATAGGGGTTTGTTTTGGGTCGTCTACTTTTCTGGGTGCCTATCCCGGTCGATGGCAGACATAAAATGCTCCCAACCACAGGGGTTTCTATAGGCCGTTGCTCCTCGTGCCTCTCTAGAGGGGGCCAGGTTCTGGCTCGTGGTCCCCGGTAGGCAAGAACTCCATGCATTGACTGATGCCAGAAAGTTAAACATATCCATTCAGCCTGGATAGCTCTGGGGAGCCTCCAGGACTCGCCCAGAAAATGGCGTTTCATTACATTCAACGTTGGTTTTATATAAGATTTAAGATACAATTATAAATAATGAATTGAGCTTGTAAAATCCCACTTTATGGCTGGAGTTAGATAAGGATATGGCCAAGAGGTCATCACTGCTTCACTGTATGCTAATTGAAATGCATCGGAGAAACTAAACCTAATTTATAAAGTTAACATAAGCAGCCATTCACCAAAATGTTGGCAAAGTGAACCTTTGTTGTTCAAACCTGCATTAAAGATTGCTCAGGTTTATATAACATAAGCAGGTGATATTTCACTTTTGACAAGTTGTTTCTAATTGTTAGAAAATTATACCCAAGCAAAAACTATATACTATACACATTGTATGGTCCCCATTCCCCCCCTTGTGATGGCATGTAATTACCTAAGTGTAGTTAAAGGATGAGCGTTATACTTGTGGTGTCCTGTCTTCAGTGATACCATCAAGGCCAGCAGAAGCAGCACTGCAATTCTTCCTGGCCTGAAAAATTTCCTGTGTGAAAATTGTGAAATTTTCCCATGATGTTTCCACGTCTTCATATCTTTTAATTCCCTCTCACAGATAATTTGCAATTCCTCTCATATATCTCGTATATCTTAAGTGTCTTTTCATTCCATGTAGTGTCAGCTCAATATTAGCTACATTTTTGCAAATTTATGTACAGTAATTTCCTCATGCTTCCAGTACCGAGTGAATGCAACACATGTGGAGGATGTGCCAAGATTTCCCCACCGTGGGCTTCTCCTTGATACTGCCAGGCATTTTCTTCCCAAAGGCACCCTTCTTCAGGTATGTCCTAACTCTTATAGACAATTCCTAGGGCATTAGCATGCTCAGGTATGGTAAAATGTATCAGGTAGTTTGTAGCTCGGGAACTGTCTCGCATATTTTAACAGATAAAAGTTATCTTTGTATTATAAAGTAGAGCACTTGTTCTTGTTATATAAGGCTTTGATATGTTAGGGATTCCAGTAGATGTAACATGGTCATTACTGCTAGAAATAACCCCCTCCCCCCTTCCCATGCTCCTGTCGAGACCACTGGAGAGATAGTGGCCTTCAGGTAAATTCAGGTAAAATAGTCTCTTTGTATACTGGTACTGTATTTTGATGTGTATTTTTCATGTTGTATTTTCATATATTGTCCATTCAAAATTATTTGTAATTTAGTACAGTACATGATATCAGCATTAATTTGTATTTATGTAATTCTTAGATATTAGATTTATAATCATTTATATCTATTTGGCTAAAGTTTAGAATTCTTATTAGTGTAGGTTTACTCAGTGGGATAAAAGCTTTATTTAGAATTAAATAACAATTACTGAGAATGTGTACTTTGTTACAGGTTCTGGATTCCATGGCATGGAACAAACTCAATGTTCTCCACTGGCACATTGTTGATGACCAGAGTTTTCCCTACGAGTCTAGGATCTTCCCCAACCTCACCCTCCATGTGAGTCCGTGGTGTCATGCACCTACTTCTGACAGTTATTTTTTCTCGGGTAGTTCCTCCTTCAGGAGATTTGGTTTGTCCTACTTCACCTACATTGTAAATCTTTCAACCTCACACAATTGAAGAGCTCTGCAATGCCCTTTTTCCCAGTGTGATTCTATTTCCCACAAACTCTTCTACCACAAGACGGCATTCATTAAGCAGTCTGACTAGAATGCAGTTCCAAAAAGCCATTGTACATTAGCTTCATTACTAATTACTCAGAGCTCACATTCAGAGTGTTATCATCTTCCAATACAATATAGTGTTCTGAAAGCATTATGTTCAGTCAAGTTTCATATATGTTTACCATAGATTTTGCTGTGTCGTAAAAAAATTGCTATCAAAAGCCGTTAGGCAAAAGTTGATAAATTGTAAGATTGAGATGAGCATTTTGAATAGTAATTACCGGTGCGGGAGTTCGCAGCGGTGGTTTGCTCTTCGGAGGGTTCGGGTCACTGCGGATTGACGATCCGGCTCCATTCGGACTACTCCCCTGTGGTTCATTGCCTGAACTGGGGGGGAGGGGGGGATTCGATGCGGTCCTTGGCTCTTTGGCACTGGTTGCTTCGGGTGACTTGTCTGCTGAGTTCTCGGGGTTTAGCTCTCCTGGCTGTTTACGTGAGGGGTGTGTCCAACGTCTTGGCCGACGGCCTGTCGCATTTCGTTTCCCATTCCACAGAATGGACGATTGACGCCGACTCCTTCATTGGCTTTGCCAGACATTCGGTCCCCAAGGTGGACCTCTTCGTGTCAGTGTGGTCGCAACGCCTTTCCCCAATTGCGGGGCCGTCGGGGTCGATGCCTTTCGGCAGGACTGGTCAAGGTGGGGGTTCCTGTACCTCTTTCCCCTGGTTCAGCTGTTGCTCCAGGTCATGACTCGCTTGGAGACTTATCAGGGGAGAGTAATCCTCTTTGCCCCTTGGTAGCCAGCCCAGCGGTGGTTTCAGGCGCTGCTTGCCTGATGTCCAAACCTGGAGGTTTTGCCGTGGCTCCGCCTCTTCTAGCAGATCGGACTGGAATGTTACGTGACTGGTTCAATCGTCTCCTCAAGTCTTCACGTATGGTGTTTTTGACTCAAGTTTATCATTATCTCTATGGTGATCAGGTGGCTTCCTTATTAGTGTCCCACCTGCGGGCTTCGTTTCGGCGGCAGTATGAAGTTTCCTGTTGGTTCTTCCAGTTCTTTTTGCATCTTCGTCGTTGTGCTTCGCTTTCTGTTAGGGTGGTGTTGTCCTTTTTCTCTTGGTTGTTCCAGGACCGTCATCTTATGCCTAACACTGTCGCCTCGTATCGTGCAGTGCTGGCGAAGCTTACTTCTGCCCTGTTTCGCAAGCTGTCTCGTGCATTGTTTCACCTCCGGCCTGCTCATGCTCCACCTGTGCCGTCCTGGTCTTTGGACAGAGTGCTCTCTTTTCATTCTTCTCCTCGGTTTCTTGTGGCCCCTTCGGTTCAGGATTGTTTCTTGAAGGCTCTTTCCTGTTAGCATTAGCCTCTTGGGGTCGGGTCGGTGAGCTTCATGTACTCCTCCGGTGCAGGGGTTTCGTCCGCAGGGTTATTAAGGCTAGCCAGCCTGCGGTCTATCCCCGTGCCCATGACGTTTGCAAGTTCGCTGCTCTTGCAGCCGTTTTTGGCAACCTGTCCTGGGCTGACATTCAGGCACAGGGATTTTGGTGGTCGAAAAGGGTCCTGGTTGCTCGTTATCTCGTGAACGTTCCTGGGCCTTGTCGGGCTTGTGTCGCGTTAGGTCAGTGGTTGCAGCCAGTTGTCTTGACTTCGAGTTGAGGAGTGAGCAGCGACTGCCTCCCGGGTAAGTTCCTCTAATTTTTCCTCTATGGGTAGTTAGCTCTGGGGAGCCATAAGGGCTCTCCCCAGAAAACCAGTGTTGAATGTAATGAAATGTCATTTTCTGGGTGAGACCCAGAGGCTCCCCGGCATCCCTCTCTCCCTCCGGTTGGCTTTTTTTTCGTGTGTTTTGACATCCAGCCTCAGAACTGAAGGGTGGATAGCCGGCGCGGGGGTCTGGGGCTTCCTCTTCCCCCCCTCCCGGGGAGAGGGGGAGCTGCGCAGACAGCGGCGCAGCGACGTGTGACGTCATGCTCGGTTGCTCGTTAATTTTAGGGGAGTTCTATCCACTTGTTTAGCTTTTGGTAGCAAAATTTTCACCAGAATAGGGGTTTGTTTTGGGATGCTTACCTTTCTGGGTGCCTGACCTGGTCGATGGCAGACATAGAATGCTTCCAACCACACACAGGGGTATCTATAGGCCATTGCTCCCCATGCCTCTCTGAGGGAGCCAGGTTCTGGCTCGTGGTCCCCGGTAGGCCCACAGAACTCCATAAACATGACCGATGCCAAAGTCCGACATTAGCATATCAGCCTGGATAAGCTCCGGGGAGCCTCCGGGGTCTCACCCAGAAAATGGCATTTCATTACATTCAATGCTTTTTTTTTTTAATCATTCACATTCATCATTATTTTTGTTTTTCTTGCTTTACAATCCTATATGTTCTTGGGTCTTTAAATGCCTAATACTGTACACCTATATTTTTTGTATTTTCATATTTTGTTCTGTTTTAATCCCAATTTAACTCATTTCGCTGAAATTGGTAGGGTGCGTACACACCAAGACATGTGTACACTCAGCGAGATGTGATGGACATTGTAGAGTACGCGAGATATCGAGGCATCAGGGTCATCCCAGAGTTTGACACCCCAGGGCATACCCAGGGCTTCGGCAAAGCCTTCCCACGTTAGTACACTGACTTAAATTTATTGTTAATTTCATACTTATTGTTTTTATTTCTTCTGAGTTTTTTAAGCCATTAGAACACTTTCATTTCTAAATAATGACAGGTAACAAATGTTTGCAAACAAAATTTAGTAATGGTAAAGCTAGACAAAATACTTTATTATTTCAGACTGAACACACACATGCTGGAATTGCAGCTGAATTTGAATTGTATTTACCTGTTGGGTACAGTCTAGCATCTGCGCTGTAATAGGAAGCCAGTGTAGGTGTAATAGTACTTTCACTTAGTTAATCTCTTCACTGGTGAAAGACTGTTCATATAGTATCAAGAATTATATTAGATTAAAAGATTCAACCTGGCAAGTTACCCTACAGCTCTCACATAATATAATTTTCATGCTTTATAAACACAGTATCAATAAATTCTGAACCAGCAAATGCAACATTATATTAAAGAAATGAGAGAAATATGAGAGATATGTTGCCCGAAACGCTATGCGTATTAGGGGCTTTAGGTATTGTATGTACTAGCTCTATCTATAAATCCAACATTGTTTGTAACTCATCATCTATGTATGTATTTTTACCTCAATAAAAATTTGAATTTTTTTATGAATTTTGAAAGATAATTAGGACTGATAAGATGCTTTTATCCCCCAGATCTGTTAACACCATGTTATGGTGATGGCCAGACACCTGGTACCCCCAAGTTTCCCTACCACGCTGCCTACGAGAACCTAGACCCTACCAACCCTCAGGTGAGTGCAAGTTTTCTTACCACACTGCCTACGAGAACCTTGACCCTACCAACCCCTCGGGTGAATGCAAGTTTCCCTATCATGCTGCTTACGAGAACCTGAATTTGTCCAAATTCAGTAATGTAGCACCAAATTCTACTATCTAATTGTTCATTAAATCAATATATGTACAATGGTCCACATCGTTTCTGTAAGTACTATTTAAACAGGAGGATGGTTTGTAGTGGATTTGATGGTGCCACTTGGTGGCAGCTGGTGGGGTGACCAAGCAGCCCAGTTGGTAGTCAGTGCTTATTTAACGAGCACTTGTAATAAACAAGAGTTTTAAAGTGGAATGCATTCTTATGGGTTTACATCTAATGATCATTTATGGGGTGAATTTATTAACCTTATCAGGTGAATTTATTAACCTTATCAGGTGAATTTATTAACCTTATCAGGTGAATTTATTAACCTTATCAGGTGACTCCATAAGCTCATTATAATCCTGAAGCTACATGATATTTGAAAATTTCACATAGCTCCAAGATTAATGGCGAGATTCAGCCAGTTAAGTGTGTTTCTAGCGCACGTAGCCATGTTGTTATGTTATTTGTTTCATGTATAAATAATAACGTATAATAATTCATATTGTGAGTAGGTATTTAGATTCAATAAAATTGTAACTTTGGTAGGAGTAACAAGAGGGCAAACCAGTTATAAAATATGTTTAGTCCCACGAATGTCCGTGGTATATGTCGCCCAGCCTTATTGCACACACTGTATGGTCGTACTTGAGGGAGCTGCCGTTTAATACAACTCATAAGGAAGTTTACACAAACTCTCTCTTATTATTTTTCATGGTCTACATATTGATATTGATGTATGAAGTGTCATAAATTAGTTATCATTATTACTGTATATTTGTTTCCCCTTGCATTTTTGTTAACTTTATATGCTTTCATTGTGCACAGGTGTATGATTTCCTCAAGGCCTTCATGGTGGACTTGAAACACACCTTTGTTGATGGTTACATCCACTTAGGACTTGACGAGGTGAGCCACCCGCCTTCTAAAACCTTCCATCAACAACTGTTGATGTACAGTATACTGTATTCCTTTACATATCATCAGTTATTGTAAAATATTAGTTTTATCGTCATATCAATGTATCTCAGTATTTATTACAAGCACGTACAGGAGTATGAAAAGGGGCATATATAATAAATAAATATTCAGGTAAAAGTACATACATACAAGATGAGTTACAAACATAATGTTGGATTTCTAGATAGAGCTGTACATACTATGCCTAAAGCAACTAATATGCACAGCATTTTGGGTTTGTCAGATGATATGAACCAGGAGAGCATGAAACAGCTGAAAGTCAGTTTGAACGAGAGTAAAGTTATGATGGAGGGAGAATGGAAGCTCTGTGTATGAAAATAGTGGGCAGAAAAAAGAACTACAAGTGGCTAATCAGTTACAACACCTGGGACATATGCCAGACAAAAGGGAAATTTGTGCAAGTAAAGCTGAAAATAAAATTAATACAATGAAACCTTTGGTTAGGTAGAAGATAATATGAAGATATGTGACAGAGGGGCTTGCATGAAGACAAGGAAATCCCAACCCTAAAGCAATATACACGTATGAGGTGTTTGTGTGGCATAAACATTCAAAATCAAGAATTACATCATTAGAAATGATAGATTAATTGATACAATTAAGAATGAAATTGTCTTGGGAAAGGAATGTAGTGCAGTACAATAGTTAGTAAATTGTAAAGTTGAAGAGAATATTCTTAGTTTGGCCATGCTGACTGAATGGTTGGTAATAGACTGGTGAATGTATTCGAGTGAATTTGTTATCATGAGGAGACAAAACCCAAGAAAACTGGTAGGCATGGTAATAAGCATGAGAGAAAATTGTATTGCGTGTGGACTGCACGCAAGAATTGTTATGAACAGGTCTAGGTGGCAGAAGTTTGTTGACATGTATGCTGTCTTGTACAAGCAAGGAGCACTGTACATCATGTCTTATGATGCACTCCACAACACCAGTGGAGTGCTGCTGTGGTCGTGTTGATCCTTCAATGTGAGGTGCATAAACTGTATTCAATACTAAAATACAAGATATTCTTATCAGCAGCTATCATTAAATATTTAAATTTTAATCAAGGTATTTTTCAGCTTTTTCAGCTTTTTTTCGCAAATTTGCCTGTAGTGTTATTAAATATTATATTTTGTTAATCTCTGATTCTTTTTCAGTTAGAGGGTCAGTCAGTCAATTTGTTGAATAGATCACAACTTACAGATTGATGCACAGAAACACCAAGCAGGTAGTCAATATTACTGAAGAATATTTAGTACTTAAAGGCAAAAATATTATCTTCAATAAAGTTACTCTCCATTTGGTGTTTATTATCAGATCTTTGTTTGAAGCAACTTTATGCATGCGAATAATCCGTGGACATGTAACTAAAACTCAGAATTTTACAACTAATTCTCTGGGCAATGCAGGCCATTGTAACAATTTGGAAGGAATAAGCAGTAAAGAAGTACAGTATATAGAAGATTTAAATCAAATCATGATGAGCGAGGCCACAGGGTGGGTTAAGGTTTTATAATAATTTACATTTGTAGATGATGAAAGACGAATGGATTGCAAAGGACAGTTTAAATAGGCATAGATATAAGGAGCTTGTGTGATGGGAAGACGCCGAAGCACCTTGTAAGGGAACAACACAGAATCACGTGAAGGAATAGCTCCTGAAGGGACAATCATGAGAACTGGAACTTGTCCCATGAGAATGAGACAAGTTAACAGTAAGATGAGTTTTAATGAGTAAAGTAGGACAGTTTTGAAGGCTTTTCTTTCATAGCCACATCCCTGATGAGTGTCCCCAGCCTGTAAGGAGTGAGTTAAGAGATATGGAGTACAAGTTAGCATGTTTTCTAGTATTATTATTATTATAGTTCTCAGAATAGTTTTGTATTTTGTTTCGCTGTGATGTTAAAGGCATTGTACAGTTTAATATTGTCCCACAGGTCTTCCTGCCCTGCTGGTCAAGCTCCCCAGTTGTACAAGCCTTCATGACTCGTAACAATTATACGGAGGTCCGGCAGGTAGAGAAACACTACGTTGAGAAGGTCCTTGAACTAGCTGACCTGACACCCATCAACTATGTCACTTGGCAAGATCCAGCTGAGCGGGGCATACAAGTATGACGCTAGAATTATAGTTGCCATCTTGTTTGTATATTGAGATCATTTTGTCACCTATATTTATTTCTTAATTTATTTAAATAATAAAATTATATGTTAGTCTTTTAACCTTCCTTTGTGTGTTTTATAATGGTTTATAAATTTTATGCTTGAAATTATTTGACTCAAAAATGTTATTTATGATATCAACTTGTTAAATCAAGTTAAAACTTGCTACAGATGTTTTAGTTCCCTGTTCATTTCCTCAGATGGCCAACACAAGTGTAGTTCAGGTGTGGAAGGATGTATCTCTCTCACCATCTAAGATGCGAGGATGGCGCGACTATGTGCATGACCTGACAGCGGCAGGTCATCAGGTCATTCTCTCCTCCTGCTGGTACATCAATTTCATCACCTACGGCCAGGACTGGAAAAACTTCTACAACTGTGACCCCACTGATTTCGAAGGTTAGACCATGAACTGGGAAATTTGCATTGATTGTATGTTACCTCTAAATATATAAAATGGGAAGTCCAGGGATGAGCGTTCAAGTCCCATTTCATTGCCTAGCAAAATCTATTTGTATCATGTGTTTTAAATACTGGAAGGGGGAGAAACTTTTTTTTTTTTTTTTAGAAAAGCTCAAACATTATCATTTGCAAGTAATGCATAAAGTACATTTATGCATAATGCATAAATGTACTTCACTCATAACCACTTGCTCATCAGTAACTAAATTATGATGAAACACAACATTTATTAACCAGTTACAAAATGTTCCCAGTTATTGGCTGGTCATTCCCAGGCTTGACTCTCTGCTCAAGCACAAGCTCCATCTCTTCAGAATATAATTCAAGATATGAAAATAGTACACTTGGTGCATTAAAACATTAAACCAATTAGGTAATGTCTTCTCACAGACATAATAACATAGGATAAAACCCCACACTTGTGTATTTGTGAAATTTATGTAAGGAATTTACACCAAGTCTTTTGTACTCTCCTGAGTGCTTTGTCAAGGTCTGAGTGTGTGATTGTGTGTGCTTAGGATGCTTACATCTCATCGTTTATGGCTCCCTGAAGCTAACTATCTACAGAGAACAAAAACAGAATCTACTAGAAAGATGCACTATGGCAGCAGGCATTATGATGAAGAGGAGAACCCAGGCTGGGAGACACGGTCCAAAGCAACACATGACCAACTGGGAACAGGAACATAGACTAACTACTGAGCTACTGAAACCCTGGCAGAACACCAAAGTCCTCAAGCCTAAAATCAGCACAGGAAATGAGCCAATATGCTAATATCATTATCCAGAAGGCTAAACAGAACTTTTTCAACTGATTTGACCTTTTAGTATGGAGCATTCTCAACAAGATAGCTTCAGGGAGCCACTGACGCTCCTCCAGGAAGAAGTGTTTCATCACATTCAACACTGGGTTTTGGCCTTTCTCTTCTGCTTCTACCCGCCAAAATTTACTTGAGATTCTCTTTTCATTAGTCTATTATCTATTCATTAAACTTGACCAACTGTTATTTATGGGACCTTGGTAGGATTATACCCCCTGATTTAGTGTCAGTTTTGTCACTGTAAGAAGGAATTTGGGAAGACGTGGCCTCCATCCCCCCCACCCCCCTCACAATATTATTGCATCGAATGTGAGGCCAATTGTTTCACATGGTAGTGGACTTACTAGATCCCTATGCCAATATAAGTTATAAAAATATATTTCATAAAAAAAGAACATTCAAAAGTTGTGTGTGTTATGCAAACATGCAGGGGGGTAACAACTAAAAGCAAATAAATTCAATGATATTAAGCAGGAAGTAATGACAAGTACTGTAGTTTAAATGTCAAGTAAGCAAGTGTGTAACTTCTTTTTGTCTTACCCTCAGGCACAGCTGAACAGAAGTCCCTCGTACTGGGTGGGGAGGCAGCCATGTGGGGGGAATATGTAGATGCAACCAACCTTATGCCTCGCCTTTGGCCACGGGCTTCGGCAGCAGCAGAGCGCTTGTGGTCTCTCCCGCTCAAAGAAGCACCCTCTGTTGATACCGCTGCATACAGACTTGACCAGCATCGCTGTAGGATGCTCAGGTAGGAGTCGGTGGTTCAAGCTCTCTAGAGTTCCATAGGAATTTTGATATTGTTGGTGATTATTAGGAGCTTCAGATAGAAAATGTGTACCTATATATCAAAAGCCAGTTTTCATCATGAATATTCTTGGAATGTAACTATTTATAATTTTCTTTTGAAAACTTGATGTAATGATTACTTGAGTTAACCTGTGACCATCATCTCTAGAGGTGTAAATGGGAAGAAGAAATTGGTGGCTTTTCAAAGGTTCCTCCATTATTACTGAAAACCCTTTTTATTTAGAATTTATGGATTTGGCAGGTAGGTGACTCCATGGGTTTATTACCTTATGGGTGAAAGAGTTTCTCCTGATAGTAGATGGAGGAGTGAACATAGTCCCTTCACTCAGTCAGGCAGGACTAACCTCATTTATCTAGAATGACAAGCAGGGGCAAAACCAAAGAGACAGTGATACATTCCCTGTATCATACAGAACACTATAGATTTAATTACCATCTACTGAATTAGGGTAGTATTATGTGATTTGAAGCTTAAATGTAAATTTATTATGTTTTCTTTATTCATTTATATTAAAATAGCAGATTCAGGAATCTTTTTAGAAGCTTTGATGGTGAAGTCATGTGGTTTTCATTGCAATCAAGTGCAATATGCCACAGAATCAAATCTCATTGGACAAAGCGTGAGAGCCAATCAGAGAGAAGCCTGCACTTCACCCAGGGATACAGGATTGGCTCTCGTGTATACAAAATTAAATTCTAGTGCCAATTGTCTTAACTAAGAAAAAATATTTGTAATCAAAATGGATTTGATTAATCTAACATGAAATTTGTACAAGAAAATTAGACACTATAGTACTGTAAATACTGAATACAGTACAGTATTTACAGAGCTACCATATAGAAAATTGTATAGATCATTATACTGTATTGAATAGCAAAAAGTATTTAATACAGCTGTATATATATGTCTACTCTCAAATGGTATATTTGCAATACTGTACTTTGTATTATATTTCAGACGAGGTGTTCCTGCACAGCCCATCTTAAATGGGTACTGTGGTGAGTGGGAAGTGCCTCAAGATGTGGTGATGTCCACTCCTCCTCCCACCACAACTACCACTACCACCACCACCACAACTACTCCACCTCCCACCACCACAACACCCTCTACTACATCTACAACTACCACATCTACAACTACCACATCTACCACCACCTCCCCCACACCAACAGAGCCACTGCTCCCACCTCTCCCAGGAGCAGGCCAGCAGCATACAGATAATCAAGGTGTTCCTGAGGGGTCTCAGCAGCAATCTGCAGTTGCGCCCACTACACAAATGACCCCAACAGCAACACTTGCACATGTTACCGTTAATGAAGCAGGTGAAGCTGTCTCAAGAGTCGAAGCTGCCGGTGCGTTATGAAAGTAAACTTTTACTGACTTCTTGTCATGTGCATTTTTTCTGTAAAATTGTTGTTGCTTCTGGTTTCAAAGAATTTGTTAAAGTGTGATTGGTTTAAATAAAGCTTCAAACAGCAGTACTTTCTAAAAAATTTAACGGAATTAGCCTTCAAACAGCACTACTTTCTAAATGTTCAGTACTGCTGCCATTTGTTAAATTGTGTGTTTTATATTTCTCTAATGTGCAACTTTATTTTACATTAAGATGTATGGGGCAGCTTTGTCATTTGCACATAAACCCTGTATATTTAACAACCATTTGTTTAATCTCTAGATGCATTAAGTTATTTTGTGTTAATAGAACATAAACCTGTAAATTGTGGAGGGCTAAAATCTATTAAGAAAGTGCACAGCCCCATCAGATATTATTTTAGGTGTGAGAGTTTTGTAACGTGTTTATGTATGTCAGTCATTTTCAGCCTTGAATAAGAGAAATTGCCTTGTGACTTTTTTAAATGTGAAGTATATTGTCCTAGATGATGATATTCTTGCTGTGATTATATATATATATATACTATACTAATATCCTAAGAGTGCTACATATAGTGCTTCAGTGTCAGTAATATGGAGGACAGTCGAGTTTATGCCTTCATAAGTAGTATGTTATATGAGAACTAATTCCTGTCATTGATAATACACCCAAGAAAAAGTTATATTTTTTATTTTGATAATATTTAAGCTCCATCAGTTTATATTATATATGCAAGGTTTTATCCTGAGCTGATTGACGATAAAGAGTAGCATATTTATTTATTTATGCTATACATTGTAAATTATTTTACTACCTTATGTCACATTGTTGAAAATCATTACAAAGTGGTGTCTTGCATCTGCCAAACACATCATATTATTATATTTTCCCATACATGTAGCTCACATAGTCATTTCCAATGCATATTCTTGTAAATATACACCATCCACACATGAGAAATTACAAGTTTTATCCTTAACACACTGCTTCAATATTCCTCACATTCATTATTTAACACAATCTAACACCCATGCACACATGCACAGGCACTTACACGCGCACACAAATTTACCAAAGCTGAAAGATGGAAGAAGACATGATCACTACATATAAAATAGTAACATGACTACAAAATTGACGTAAGAGGAATATTTGAAACCTACAACTTTAAGAACAAGAGGTCATAAATTCAAGCTAAGGAAACAAAGGTGCCAAAAATATATAAAAGTTCTCATTTGTGAATTGAGTTGTAGAAGGTTGCAAAAAGTTGAATGAGAAGGCGGTGCATGCCAAAACCATCAGTATTTCCAGGCAGCATATATGACAAAGATTATTGGGAAGATGAGACACCACCTAGGTATATATATATTCTGTATATATATCTATCATCTCACATAACACTAATACATTCTTATCATATTTCACTGCTCAACATTGTCACGCATCCTGCAAAGCAATATCATTCCCTCTCATACTATGTTAAAAATTTGTGTTGGACAGTGCTTAAATAAGCAGTGTTAAAATGATGAAAAGTGATAATAAATAGGAAATATGTACCAGTTGTAATTCTATTTATTTAGAAGACTTTTCTAATACGCTATATTTTATTGATATGTTATTAAATATGTCAGTTGAATACGTGTTTTTATCTTTACAATTTAATCCCTCATTCCTTGCAGTGAAGCAACTGAAACCTGTCATTGTTTATGAGAAACAGTTCTAGAAAAGAAATAGCAATGTAATATATTAGCTGTCATATATACATGACATAGGGTATTTGGTGTAGCAGATATACAGTGCGGTCCATAGTTGCTTGGAGAGTGACTCAATGTTGTTTTAGCTCTGTTTTCCAGAACATTGGGTCGAAATGAAACATTACTTATGAGGCTGAAGTGCTAACTTTCAGCTTTAATTTGAGGCTTTCTGGAAAGAGCACCTTGTGACTCCCTCAAGCTATCTTCCTAAGACTGCATCATACTAAAAGGTCACATCAGTCATGGAAAGTTCTGTTTGGCCTACAAGGGAACAGAGCCAGAACTTGACCCCACTCATAAGAGGTGCAGGGAGCAGGTGAAAAAATTGACTCGCTAGAAAAAGCCTTCAGAAAAAGTCAGTGCAGCTCTACAGCAATTTGTCCTCAGACCAATTCCATTTCATACAGCAGTTGACCCCAAAGATGCTTCATCAATTTTAACATGCTGCAAATTCATAATAGGAATGTTCTCAAATATAAATTAATATTGTTATATATTGACATACTGTGCATATTTAGGCATTGATTAGGTGTTTAGGTTCTGCTTGTGATTATCTGCATTTGTAGTACGTGGGTAAAGCATTTACAGCATTGTGGTTCGAACAAAAGTCGCAGCAAAGTACTTGTTCTGGAAGTGTTTGGATGTCATCAGTCGAGTTGCAGCCCTTCCTCGCATACAAAGATCCAAGCTCGTTAATCCAGCCACCAACCCCCTGTTTATGAATAAAAAGTGGTTTACACACAACTCACAACTGATGCAGCCCGTCCTCACATACAAAGGTCCAATCTCGTTAATCCAGCTGCCAAACCCCCTTTTTATGAATTAAAAAGTGGTTTACTCACAACTGATGACGTCCAAACACTTCTGTTATGAGTGCTTCACTCAAGTCCTCTGTTAGAACCACAATTCTCAACCTGTCCTTGACTCAAGTCCATTACATCCAGCGGTCGACCCCATAGACGCATTCATAAACTTTTACATGCTGTTCAGTCAAAATGGGAATTTTCTCAAATATAAATTAATATTATAATATATTATATTGTGCATATATAGGCATAGGTTAGGTTAGATCAGGTGTTTAGGTTCTGTTGGCGATTATTTGTATTTGTAGTACGTGGGTGAAGCATTCACAGCGTTGTGGTTGGAACAAAATTCGTCAATGAAAGATTGATGAAGATTAAGCCACCCTAAAGGTGGCACGGGTATGAATAGCCCGTAAGTGGTGGCCCTTTTGAGCCATTACCAGTATCAATAGATGATACTGGAGATCTATGGAGGTGCGACTGCACCCTGCGACAGGAGATGTCTCCCTCCTCGTCAATGAAGCAATTGTTCCGGAAGTGTTCGAACACAATCTGTTGTGAGTTGATTGATTGATTGATGAAGATTAAGCCACCCAAAAGGTAGCACGGGCATGAATAGCCCGTAAGTGGTGGCCCTTTTGAGCCATTACCAGTATCAAGAGCTGATACTGGAGATCTGTGGAGGTGCGACTGCACCCTGCGTGACGGGAGATGTCTCCCGTGTGTTGTGAGTTCTTGTGCAAGCCGTTTTTCATTCATGAACAAGGGGGTTGGCGGGTGTATGGAATCACTTTTGGGTCTTTGTTTGGAGGATGGGCTGACAATTCTATAAATGTTCCACCCTCATACTTCAAATACAAATAATCGCCAACATCGCCAACACAAATAACAAACCCCTTAACAAGGCAACCATCCCGGCCAACTTAAACAATATTCGTGTTTCTCCGTCTGGAAGCTCTGGGGTCCAGGGCAGCGGTGCTGCCCTCCCCTCCATCCCTTTGAGCAAGGGAGCAGAGACATCTCAACCCTCTCCTATGGACATGCTAGCATCCCACTATAAGCAACTCAAGCGAGCTTCCGGTCCCTCACCGGAATTCTATAACTGGGCCGAGAATCAGTGGTTCAAAAAGTTGTGCCAAGTCCTCGAGTCTCAAAATGCTATCATCTTGAGTCTTCTTAATGAGAATCTAGCGATCCGCGCTAATCTCCAACAACAACAACAAGAAATAACCCTCCTCCGCGAGGAAATTAGAAACTGCAAGGCAAGCCAAGACCAACTACAGCATGATTTAAATGATCTCCGTGAGGAAAGCAACCTTCTGAAAACTGATGAAGCCATTAAAAAACAGGAGGAAGCCCTCAACAAAATGACTGCATGTATCAGTACATTTTCAGCCCAGCGTTCTGTCTCCCAGGATGAACAAGACCAGCAAAAGCTGCTAGACTCTGTTATAGTGTCGTCCCAAGATATACCTGTGGAACATGATGGTGAAAACTGTGTCGAAATAGCTCTGGATCTCATAAAAGACAAATTGCAGCTCATTCTAAACAAATCTGACGTTATTGCTGCCTACAGAGTAGGCAAAAAGAATCCATCAAGTCAAAACCAACGGAAAATTCGCCTGAAGCTGTCTTCCCAGTTCACGAAATCCAATCTAGTCCGGACAGCTGTAGCCCAACGGACGGGATTATACATCAACGAGTGCTTGACTAGGAACAGACAGCACCTCCTCTACCGCCTGCGTCAAATCCGTCAAAAAAACCCAGATGCGATTCATCAGTGCTTCGTTAGAGATGGACTGATAAAGGTGAGAAAAACCGCAGAGGGCAAAATGTTCACTATTACTAAAGAAGAGAACCTCAACGCTTTCCTCTCCCAATGTGGTCTGTCTCAGCTCATTATCACTCCCAGTGAATTAACTTAATTAACCCCCTGTCAACTAGTGGGGCTAGGTTTCCTAAGTCTCATTGTTTCATTTTCTGACTTAATTTTTAACTTACTCTTAACTAGTCATTTACTGAAATTTTTTAATTGAGTGCATAAATAGTTCTTCAGGTCTTATTAATTATACAGTCATAACTGAACTATTTATAATTAATAATCATTAGCTTAAATTTGCCTATGCTTATTATTCAACTTTTCTTTGATTCCATTTATTACCTAGGTTGCCTAGCCTCGCCATGCTCCCTTACTCCATTGTACCCCTGGCTTTGCCTGTATCTCAAATTGCAAATTGTTACTTACAGTGTACCTGAGAGTACTTGTAAGCAATCTACCTCATTTTTCATTTTTGCTCAATTTGTTTTTGTATTGCTTAGTCTTGTTTATATTTTTGTTTTGTATTTCTATATCTTGTGTTTTGTATAGTCATGTTTATATGTTTTTTCGTTAATCTCATTTATTACCTAGGTTGCCTAGCCTAGCCATACTCCCTTACTCCATTGTACCCCTGTAGAGTTTGCTTTGTTCTGTATTGTGTACATCTTTTTCCCTATTTTATAGCTTATTTCTACCTTGTTATTTGCCTTTCTTCCCTTGTTTTTCCTGCAATCAGCTTTTTTTATGCAGACAACTATAGACCCTGAACTTAACCTCTTATCCACTATCTATGACAATTATCACTTTAATGATCTAAATTGCAGATATTTTGCAGCACATGATGTAAACAATGTATTAACTCATAATCACAATATCTCTGTAATCAATTTGAACGTTAGATCCCTAGGTAAACACTTCGATGATGTTAGTGCCTTGATTGAAGCTATTGACAACAAATTCTCTTTTATTATACTTACTGAAACATGGTTGAAAGAGGATACTACTCAGCTCTTTAACATGCCTAACTACTCAGCAATTCACAACTGTCGTCAAATTCAGAGAGGTGGTGGCACTGCTCTTTACTACCACCAAGAACTAACATGCTTAAAAGAAATTAGAACCAGAGACTGCTATGGGGAGTATATCTTCGCCAGCTTCAGAGTCAAGGGTGCCGAGTCTGTCCTGACTGTGGGTGCAGTTTATAGAATTCCTAACACTGATGTGTCCGAATTCAACTCAAACCTTAGAAATCTAATACTTGATAACAAACTGAACAAAAACCACCTAATTATCGCAGGGGACTTTAATATTGACCTCTGCGAGCCTGAACACCCCACTGCTGTTAGCTTCCTCAACTGTATGAATTCCTGCTTCCTCATACCCTTAATCACTAGACCTACTAGAATCACTGATAGCACTGCCACGACGCTCGATCACATCTGGACAAACATAACCTCTCCGCTTACTTCAGGTATAATCACCGATAGCACTACAGATCATTACCCCACATTTCTCTTAACTAACATTAGCAAACCACCTCTTGAGTCAAGAGTGATACGTTTTAGACTGCACAATGAAACTGCTATAGACAATTTTATAACTGCTGCTGATAATGTCAACTGGGAGTCCGAGTTAGGTAACATAGTGGACATCAACCTTGCAGTACAATCTTATCTTCAAAAAACTCTTAGCCTTTATAATACCCACTGTCCTATGCTTACAAAACAAGTCACAACCAAAAGGCTTAACAATCCCTGGCTTACAAAGGGAATACTTAAATCTATTAATAAAAAACATGACCTTGAGAAGAAGTATAGGTTAGGAATTGTCTCCAAAGAATTCTCAAAGAATTACTCATTATTGCTGTCTAAGATAATTAGACGAGCCAAAACTAAATACTACGAAGATAAATTTACCCAAATAAAGAGCAACATTAAACAAACTTGGAGAACAATTTCTCAAATATTGGGATCAAAGAAGTCTTTAAATAACAAACCGACTCTCCTGTCTAATAACGATGGTCAGCTTTCAGCCTCTGATTCTGCTACTGAGTTCAATAGGTTCTTCTCTTCCATTGGTTCATCCCTTGCAAATGATATTCCATCTTCCAGTACAGACATTAATGACTATCTTTCAGGTAACTATCCACAGTCTCTGTACCTAAAGCCTATTAATTCCACTGACGTCAATGAGATAATCCTTTCCCTTAAAACCAAGTCTGGTGCCCTTGAGGAGATACCAACTTTAATTTACAAAAAAG